TGCCTGGTATCCAAAGGGGTCAGAAGAGGGCATTTGGGTCCCTTGGAACTGGAGTTCTAGTTGTGAGTTGCCTTGTGGGTGCTTGGAATTAAAAGCCAGGGTTCCCCACAAGAGCAACAAGTAAAGCACTCTTTAACTGCTGAGCCTTCTCTCTAGCTTCTCAGCTATATGTTGCACAGACATTTAACTGGGCAGTTCCTATGGATGGACTTCAGTGTGCAAAAAGCTAGAGATTAGATTCCTTCCTGTTTGTTATGGCTTAATAGACAGTATATAAAGTTCTAAAACTGTTCATCTTGCCACATACCTGTAATCTTAACACATTGGAAGCTGAGGTAGGAGGATAAAAAGCCTTAAAAAGAAAATCCTGTTATTTATAATAATATTTAAGAATCTGGAACACTTACTGTTAAATTAGTCTAGATGCAGACAGAGCATGATATGAACTTACTTGAATATAGAACCTAAAAATTCAGACTCAACTCATTTAAGTAGAATAGAATGGGGGTCTCCAAGGGGTCTGAGGGTGGAGAAAAGTTGGTCAAAGTTTTTTGTTATTGTTTTGTTTAAGATCTTAAAAAAATTATTTTTAGTTTATGCGTGTATGTCTGTGCACCATGTATGTGCAAGTGTCCAGGGAAGGCTGGAAAAGGGTATTGGAGCGGAATTTACAGATGTTTGTAAGCTGCTGTGTGGACACTGGGAATTGAATTTGTAGTCCTGGCTGTTCTGGAACTCAGTCTGTAGATCAGAACCGGCCTCAAACTCAGAGGTCCACCTGCCTCCACTTCCTGATAGGTGGGATTAAAGGCACGCACCACCATGACCAGCTAATTTTTGGGTTTTTTGAGGCAGGGCTTTTTCTCTCTATGTAGTCTTGATTGTCCTGGCACTTTTGTAGACCACGCCCGCCTAGAACTCACAAGAGATCCTTCTATCCCTGCATTTTGAGTGCTGGGATTAGAGATATAAACTGTGCCTGGTTCATGACCCAAATTTGATCCTTGGAACCACATGGTAGGAAAGAAGCAACTTCTGTAAGTTGTCTTTTAACCCCATGTACACTGGTACAGATACTGTACACATGTGTGCACACACAGAGGATACAGTTTTTTCTAATTATCTGAATCTTTTTTTGGGGGGGGTGTTGTGTTTTTGTTGTTTCTTTTTTTTTCCCCCAAAATGGTTTCTCTGTATAAACAGTTCTGGCTATCCTGGAACTCGCTTTATAGGCCAAGCTGGCCTCGAACTCACCTCTGCCTGCCTCTGCCTCCCAAGTGCTGGGATTAAAGGTGTGTGCACCACCACTACTCGGCATTATTTGATTCTTAAACCAATGGCTTTATTATACTTTATAAATTTCTACTTCAGTCATGATGTAGGTATGAAAACTTATCTCAAGAGGCCAAGTAAATCTTTAAAGCTTCTTATGAGCATAATGTTGAGAACATTAATGTATGAAGATTTAGAAAACCTTTATTTTGCTGTTGTCTTTAAAAATGTAGAGAATATTAATAAACTTAGAAAATGGTGACTTTGTACGTAAATTCTTCTGTAATAATGGAAACATCTGCTTAATTAATGGCAAACAGTTTATTGTGTGAAACATTTAAATTGGTAAGAAAAATATACTTTGAAGGGCAGAGTACTTCTAATTAATTTTAAGGGTTACTTTGGATAATGCTGGAAAATGCTTTATTATAACCTCGGAACCTCAGTGGCAGCAGATGATCAGAGCACTTTGAAAAAGGACTTATGCAGGGAATCTAAGCCTGTGGCCTTCTGGAGGCTTTGACCCAAATTTATTTATAGAAGCTCATTTTATACACAAATACATGCATACATGCACAACACACACCAAAAACAAGGATATTTACCAAAGCATCACAAGTAGAGTAAAGTAATTTCAGTTCATCAGCTAAAGGGCTTTGTAGTAGTTTAGGTACAGAGTACTCAAGTGAACAGTGATAGGAAAAATAATACATGGAAACATACTGAAGTATTTTGAGCAGAATATAATAAGGTGGTATATTCTTGTAGTACTTAGAAGGCTGTGGCAGAAGTATCAGAACTTCAGTGCCAGTCTTGGTTACATAAGTTTGAGAACAGTTTAAGCTATGTGTGACCTCACCCTGCTCCAGTCTAAATATGTTTTTTCATAATTTAAGGATGTGCTGACACATTCCTTTAATCCTAGCACTGGGGAGACAAAGGCAGGCTATCTCTGAGTTCAAGGTGAGTTCCAGGGTAGCCAGGACTACACACACACACACACACACACACACACACACACGTCTCCCCCCCCAAAAAAAAAGTTAGATTTGGGCCTGGAGAATGGCTCAGCAGATAAGAATACTGACTGTTCTCCCAGAGCAGGCTTCATTTCCCAACACCCACATGGTAGCTCATAACTGCAATTCCAGGTTCTCCAGCACCCTCTTCTGGTCTCTGCAGGCACTTAGTTCACACATGGTGTGCATACATATACAGACAAAACACACACACAAAATAAAAACGTACAACTTTTTAATGTTGGATTTTTACTATTTTTTTACTATTGTACTTTTAAAATATGTTCTAAAATTAGTTCTTCCTAACAACTTTTTGATCTCTTAAAACCAAGCCAAAGGCTGTAGTTAACAGTTGCTGAGCATATGCCAGACTGTAAGTTAGATCTGCATCACTACAAAAGAAAACATGAAAAACAAGCTGAGGAGAAAGAAAAGAGAATAATTTCTTTCATATAGTCTTCCAAATATCACTATCCATTTCCAGGTTCCAAGTTTGTGTTAAAATTGCTAAAAAGCTGACATGTGACTGTGGAGCCAATGCTATAGATAAATCAGTCTCAGTAAGCCTTTATAGTCTATTCTCTTTGGAAGTTCTGTAGACTGACACTAGGACTAACATGAGACATAGTTACTCTACCATTAACCTGTATCCCCAGCTCTTAGTGGTTTTTGTTTTATTGTGTTGTTTTTTGCTTTCACGAAGATACTCAGATCAGCCTTGAACTTCATTATGATTCAGGCAGCCTTAATATTGCCCTTTCTTCCAGTAGCCGATATTATATATCTGCCCCATCTGACTAGAGTGTACAACATCCTTTTAAAGGTTTTCTGTTTGGCACACTGGTGCTATAACATCAGCTGAAAACATGTCAGCATTGGTTGAGGTGGTCTAGAGTAGTTTCAGAGCCGCCTCCCCCCTTTTATGAGTTTTAAGAGCTGCTCTAACAGTTTTGTGATATAAAAATTGTCATTGAGATGGGCATGGTGGCACACAGCTTTAATCCTAGCTAAAGAGAAAGCAGAGATAGGTGTCTCACTTAGTTCAAAGCCAGTCTAATCTACAGAGGAAGTTCCAGACCAGCTAGGCTATGGGTGAGACCTTGTCTTTTAAAAAAAAAAAAAAAAGTCTGAGACAGGTGGATCACAAATTTAATGTAGCCAGGCTTGGGCAACAGAAGGAGACTTCATTTCAAAAAGGGAGGGAGGGAGAAAAAAGACAAAAGAAAAATAATGACTTTTCTTTAAAATAGGTTAGGGTAGTAGCATTCAGAGGGCGAGGCAGGAAGATTGCCATAAATTCAAGGTTAGCCTGGACTAATTAAGCAATAAAACAGTTTTGGAGAGCTGGTGGTATGCCTTCCTCTAGTCCCAGCATGGAAAATGCTGACATGAGAGTACCATTGGAGCCCAGGCTAGCACTAACATCTGAGCAATATAGACTTCTTTTCAAAACACAAAAAATAGGGTCTACAACATGGTTCAGTTTGCCTTATAATCCTGATGGCCTGAGTTCAGTCCCCATAACCCATGTAAAATGCCAAATGTGGTAGCATGCATCTGTAATCCCAGCATCCTTTCTGTGAGATGGGAGGCAGAGACAGAATTAGCTGGAAGTTCATGGTCCACAGAGCCTGAAGTATAAAGTGTGGCACAAACAGCAAAAGTGGTTGAGAACTAATTCCTCAAAGAGTTGTCCTCTGCTGCACACACACAATAAAGTAAAACAACAAAAACACTGTTCCTTATTTTGTTTTTAAAGGAGAAAAATATCTTAGTGAAATTGGGGGGGGTGCTTATAACCATTTATGTAAGAAAAGTATATAAGACTGAACACCAAGAGTCTGATTTTTTTGTTTTTGTTTTTTTTAATATTTATTATGTATATAATATTCTGTCTGTGTGCATGCCTACAGGCCAGAAGAGGGCACCAGACCCCCATTACCGATGGTTGTGAGCCACCATGTGGTTGCTGAGAATTGAACTCAGGACCTTTGGAAGAGCAGGCAATGCTCTTAACCTCTGAGCCATCTCTCCAGCCCCTTGTTTTTGTTTTTCAAGACGGGGTTTCTCAGTAGCTATTGAGCCAGTCCTGGAACTTGCTTGCTCTGTACACTATGCCGTCCTTGAACTCAGAGATCTGCCTGCTTCTGCCTCCTGAGTTCTGGGATTAAAAAGTGTAAGTCACTACCACTCAGCAGCTATGACTACTTGAGGATGAAGCAGAAGTAGGTGGCCAGCACAATTAGATTACATTTATAATTTGCTCAAGTGGCTGGAGAGATCACTCAGCCATTAAGAGCACTTGCTGGTCTTTCAGAGGACCAGAATTCTGTTCTAGCATTCACATAGTAGCCCACAGCATCCAAGCCATCCATTTATTCTAGGGGATCTAGCATCTGACAATTTCTGATGTAATACATACATGCAGGCAAAACACTTGTAAGATACAATATATACCCTAGAAAGAAAAGAAAAACATAAAAGTAGCTTTGCAGGGTATAATAGTACATACCTTAATCCCAGTGTTGGAAAGACAGAGAAAGGTGTATCTTTGAAGGCCAGACAGGGTTATATAGTGAGCCACCCTTCCAAAAAATACTGACTGAAGAATAATCATAAAAGCTTCACTAGTAAGGCAGAGAGCATTGTTAATAAGGTAAGTTTAGAAACTATGTAAAGTTACATTTCTTCTCTTTGTTTTTCCTTAAGGAATTGAATGACCTGGCCCGAGATCCTCCAGCACAGTGTTCAGCAGGTCCTGTTGGAGATGACAGTAAGTATCTGAATGGAGTTGCAGCATAACAAGACTTTCTCTTTATTTTTGGGGTGGGGGTGTGTGTATCAGAGTGTGAGAGTGTCAGTTTAAGCATCACAGTTTTGCATGTGGAGGTCAGTGGGCAACTTGCAATTTGTTCCTTTCTTCCACTATGTGAGTCCCAGGATTGAACTCTGGTGGTCAAGTTTGGCTGCAGGCACTTCAGCTGCTGAGTCAGCCCTCTTATTGTTATATGTTAAGAGGTCATTTGCTATAGGGAAAGGGGAGTCTTGTAGTTTCCCGTGACAGAATATGTTTTGGTGTGTGTTTTCTTTTTTTTTTTTTTTTTTGCTTGTTTTGTTTTTGTGTGTTTTTTTTTTTTTTTTTTTNTTTTTTTTTTTTTTTTTTTTTTTTTTTTTTTTTTTTTTTTAATGGGATTTCTTTGTATAGACCAGGCTGGTCACAAACTCAGAAATGTAACTGCCTGCCTCTGCCTCCTGAGTGCTGGGACTAAAGGCATTTGCCACTATCCTTGTTTTAAGTATACCCAATCATGTTTTAAGTATACCCAATCATCTTATTATATTTTGAGCTTCTTCTGGCAGCATTATCTTTGTGGTTGCTCTGGTCTCTTTCTACCTGTCCTTTCTTTTGGATATTTTCCTGGGATAAAGGAGCTGTTGACCTACACTTGGCTATTTTGCCCTTTAAGGAAATCATTGTATATGTTTGTATTTAACTATATTCTACTGGGTTATATGTGTGAAAGCAGATATAATTATTAAATTGTTTATAGTACCGTGGGTTGAACCCAGGGCCTTGTGTATGCTAGGCAACCACTCTTATTACTGAGAAACATTCCTAGCTAGAGTAACTTAAAATGTATTTGTTTGTTTGTTATATGTTGGGGAGTTTCTCCTACCCTGTGAGTCTCAGGGAGTTAACTTAGAATGTCAGACTTCAGCAAATGTCTTTACCTGCTTACTGGCCCTACTAATATTTTAATGCTAGTTTAATACAGTAATACTAAATTTAATATTAAAAACAAAAAACTAGACTCATTGCCATGCAATCCTTTTGTCGCAACTTCCCCAGTGCTAGGATTCATTGTGTGTTTTTGTTTTTTGAGACAGGATTTCTCTGTGTAGCTCTGGCTGTCCTAGAACTCATTCTGTAGACCAGGCTGGCCTCGAATTCACTGAGATCTTTCTGCTTCTGCCTGTGATAGGATTAAAGATGTGAGATGGCTCAGGTGTGAGTCTTTAAACCCAGATGATTTGGAGTGTTTTCTTTTGGTCCAACCTCCCCCTCGCTTTTTTTTTCTTTTTTTTCTTCCCGTTCTTCTCCCCCCCCTTTTTTTTCTTTTTTTCTCACTATGTTTTTCTGTCTAGTCTGGAACAGTATAGACCAGCCTGCCTTGAGTTCAGAGATATGTTTGTTTTAGCCTTCAAGTGCTAGGATTAGCCTGGTAGGAAGTGTTTTAAGCATGTGAAAATTACTGATTTTTGCTTTGTTGCTATTGCAGTTTGCATTCTTATACTTATCTTTGAGCAAAAATGGCTGTCCTGCAAAGTTAGGTACTCAAAGGGCAAATAATTTTTCAAAGTAGACTATTTAGACTTCATTTATTATAACAAAAAAAGGAAGCAGCCTGGTGGTGGTGGCTTTAATGGTAGAGTACTAGTCTGGCAGGTGCGAGGTTATAGGCTCAATCCCTAGTCCTGCTACACATTGGAAGAAGGGAGAAAAGGAAACAGTTCTGATGGCTCAGCAGGTGGGAGAGCAGAAAATTTACTCAAGAATTCAGGCTCAACCTGAGCTACCAGAGGGAAAAAAGTCTCAAGACAAAAACATGGCCAGCAAGATAGTTCAGCGGGTGAAAACACCCGTCACCAGGGCTGACAATCTAAGTTTGATCCCTGGGACACACAAGGTGCAAGGAAAAAAGAACCAATTCCTACAAATTGTCCTTTTTACCTTCAAGTATGTTCGAACACCCACAACCACTCAGGAGGCAGAGACATGAGAATCTTTTGAGTTCGAGGACAGCAAGGGGTACACAGAGAAACCTTATCTTGAAAAATCCAAAAAACACCTTAATATGCTACAAATGATAGCACTGAGAAAGAGATAATACACATTGGGAAGTGTGGGCAAGAAAACTGTGAGTCCAAGGCCAGTCTATGCTAAAGACCTTGTCTCAAGAAACAAAATTATGAGATGCCACCAAAGTTACCAAAAAGAGATGGCTCAGTTTGCTGCTTTTCTAGAAGACCTGAGTTCAGATCCAAGTACCCAGGGATAGCTCAAATCAACCTGTAATTCTAGTTCCAACACCCTCCTCTGGCCTCCCAATTATCTGCATGTCACACACAGAAACATAAACTAAAATTATTTTTTTAAAAGTTTCTTAGGAAAAAGAGCCAGCAGGGCTAGAGAGATGGCTCAGAGGTTAAGAGCATTGCCTGCTCTTCCAAAGTTCCTGAGTTCAATTCCCAGCAACCACATGGTGGCTCACAACCATCTGTAATGGGGTCTGGTGCCCTCTTCTGGCCTGCAGGCATACACACAGACAGAATATTGTAAACTAACTAACTAACTAAATAAATAAATAAATAAATAAATATGTATATACTTTTTTTTTCTTAAAAAGAGCCAGCTGTGGTCCCATATAGTCTCAATAATTGAGAGGCAGAGGTTACAGTGTGAGACACCCACTCCTGTTTTTTTGTTTGGTTGTTTTTTGTTTTGGTGTTTCAAGAGAGGATTTCTCTCTAGGCGTGGCTGGCCTGGAACTCAGATCTCCCATCTCTTCCTCTCAAGCGCTGGGACTAAAGGTATATGCCATCACAGTCCCAGCTAGTGAGACCCTACTTAAGAGGAAAATGGTAGAAACTCGGTGTGATGACATGGGTTTATAATCCTAGTATTTGAGAAATTGAGATGAGAGGATCTCAAACAATCTCTGTGAGTTCCAGGGCAATCAGAAAGAACTTACACAAAGAAACTCCGTCTGAAAAAAGATACTGAAGCAAAGTAGGCTAAGTACAACAAAATGAATAAGGTAGGAACTGGAGAGATGGTTCAATAGGAGCATTTACTATGCAAACCTAGGATCATAAATCAAATTCCAGCACCCATGTAATAAGTCAGATGTGGTCTCACCTGGCTGGGCTTATAGATAGCTATAGCCTCCATCTTTGTGGAAAGCTGAGACAAGGATCTTACTGGTTTGCCATTCTAACTGAAAAACATATGCTACAGGCTTAGGAAGAGAGATTGCATTAAAACAAGGCAGAGAGCTGGGTGGTAGTGGCACATGCTTATAATCCCAGCACTATGAAGGCAGAGACAGGTGAATGAATCTCTGTGAGTTTGAAGCCAGCAGGTCTACAAAACAAGTTCCAGGACAGCCAAGACAGTTAACAGAGAAACCCTGTCTCGAAAAACCAAGGGAAAAAAATCAAGGCAGAGAATGATAAAAAGAAAACACTTGATATAATCCTCTGACCTATACCCAGCACTTAAACACACATACTTAAGAGAGGGGGCAGTAGGAAGAGAGAGATTTGTCAATTGTTTGTGTTTTGTGTTTTATTTTTTATTTGTTTTGTTTTCAGTTTTTGTTTATGAAACTCTGATTATGTAACCCTGGCTTGTGAGGCACTCATTGTATAGATCAGGCTGTCTTTGAACTTCCAGAGATCCACCATCCTCTGCCTCCCAAATGTTAGGATCAAAGATGTGCATCACTTCATCCAGTGCTTTTGCTTCAAATTTTAATGCTCTGGTTTTTTCCCCTTGAAGTAAGCTGAAGATATTTAATCTACTTTATTTTGTTATGAACTTGGTAAAGTGACCCTCTTGGGAACTGTGTCTTCAGACATAGGTCTCTGAAGATTTAATTGCAAACTAACAAATGTTCTTAACTATCTGTTTTAACTGCTTCATCTGTAGTGCTAAAAAGAAATTATTGAGCTGTAAAGATCACCTTTTAAAGCTTATACAACAGATTGTAGCTTTCAGTTTCTGTAATTTGATCTGACAGCATCCAACCAAAGTTGTAATAGTAGTCACTTTTTTGTTATTGTCCAAGTTGTTTAGGGGTGGGTATGTAGCTCAGTCATAGAGTACTTGTCTAATATGCATGAGGCCATGTTCAGTACCACCAAAGAGAAACCCTTGTTTTGCTTTGATATCATTTGAATCATGGTTAGATACTATATTGCTGTTGTTTCTACTCATTCATATTTACTACCTAAAGAGAACCAGGAGCATAACAGAAGGAAACCTGTTAGTGATTCCAATAGGTATTCTTACTGCTGTTGCTGTAAAGGTTCTTGAGAGCAGGACTGGTAAGATGCTCAGTGGGTAAAAGAAAGTATTTACTACGCTTTGTCTTCCAACCCATAGTGGTAGGAGTGAACTTACTCTGTGAAAGTTGTCTTCTGGCCTCCACTCCTCCATACACTGGCACATGCACACTGTAACCATACTTCATACACATTCAACAATAATATTAAGATTGTTAAAGTTCTTAAAAGTATAATCCCTCTCAGAGACACTATAGTGTCTTCACTGGAGTATGGATACGAAAGACATAATTGTGATTTGAATGAAAATGACGTCCAAAGACTCGGAGTATTATTGGAGGTGTGGCCTTGGGGAAAGTGTGTCATGGGTGTGGGTTTTGAGGTTTCAGAACCTCAAACTAGGCCCAGTGTTGCTCTCTTCCCTGAGGTTCTGGATGTAGAACTCTTAAGCTCCTTCTCCAGCATCATGTCTGCCTGTGTTCCACCATGCTTCCCTCCATGACAGCAATGAACTAAACCTGATGTAAACCAGCCCCAATTAAATGTTTTTCTTTAGAAGAGTTGCCATGGTCATGGTGTCTCTTTATAGCAGTAGACTACTAAGATAGCAGTACTACTTGATTGTTGATATTTTCCCTTTTCTATTAGAAAGGATATTCTTTACATAATTGCAAATGTTCAAGTTGCCAACCTGTTGCCATTTCT